TAATATACTAGTATCTCTATTTTTTACCAATAATTATAATATTATAAGGAGATAAGGAGAGGGTATTTAGCATGGCCATAAGCTAATTAGAAGTCTTTTTAAAAGCAGTAACGGTATAAAGACCCCTACGTGCTTATCATAAGGAGATAAGCCTACTATATTATCGAGTGAGTAGAGGTAGTAAGAGGAACTAAATGATATATCTATAATAGACCTATCTGGGGAACCTTTGCTAGCTAAGCTATTATTATTAAATAAATACGTAGACCTGAAGGGATATAAGTACAAGAGCGAGTTTCTAGAAGTAAAGAAAATATATTTCTAGAGCTATAAAGAGATAGAAACATATATTAAGGTAGACAAAAGCGAGATATATAGATATTAGATATTAGGATGTAGATAGGTTTATGTGTATAAGCGGGATTAGAAAGAAAGAATTATTAAATACAAAGCTAGACTTGTTATTAGAGGCGATCAGCAAGTAAAGGATAAAGTCAAAAATACTTACGCAGCTATACTTACTAGACTATTATTTAAAACTCTAATAATATTAGTAGTAAGATATAACTTAGAGCTATTATAATACCGTATTTATCCATACTCTAATCAATGAGATTATCTATATGGAATTTATACTAGGATATACCAAAATAAGCAAGGTATTAAGACAAAAGAGAGCATTATATAGCCTCCGTAGATCCCTATTATTATAGTAAAGGTACCTAGAGAAGAGACTTCGCGAGGCTAGATTTAAGAGAGTCTCTAGAAAGAACTTCTATTAGAAAAAGAGTAAGATCCTATTTTCTTTTCTATATAAATGAGTTTATATTAATATTTCTACGAGACTAGAAGGAGGAGATAACCGCTAGTATTAATATAATAAAGTAGAAGTACTATTTAGAAAGAAGGGAATTATTATAATAGTTCTTTAGTATAGAGATTACTCATAACAAGTAATAAAAAAAGCTCTAAATCTTATAATCTTTATATAACTACCTAAAACATTACATCTCTAATCGGAACTGGCACGATAAAACTAGCAAAGGCTAGATGGTTTATTTATACCCCTATATTATAAAAAGAGTTAACTGTAAATAGCAACTAGGCAAATGTTAAGTTAATTACAACCTACTAGCGCAAAGTAGAATCACTATTATATATTACTATTATAACGAGACCAGATATTACTTTTGTAATAAGCAAACTAGCTAGATTTAACTAGAACCCAAGCTAGGAGTATCACTGGGTTACTAATAGAGTTCTATAATATCTCTAACGAACCGCAGGCCTTGGGTTAGAGTTTGATGAGAAGATAGACGGCTTTAAGGTCGCTTTAGATACTAGCTTTATGTATAACTCAATAGACCGTAAGTTATTATAAGTATTTATAATAAAGTTATCTAGAGGAATAATAAGCTAGAGGGCTAATAAGTGAGTAACTATTATAACCTCTACAACTAAAGCTGAGTTATTAGCTCTGTTATAAGCAAGAAAGGAAGTAATCTTCGCCAATATATTAATTAAAGCACTGGGAGGAAAACCACTAAAGATATTAATCTAATACAATAATACCTAGACTATTAGACTAGTAAAGAAAGAGCTATTTAAGCTATAAACAAAGCTTCGCTACGTAGATATATACTACTACTAACTTAAATAGTCTATCTTTAAAGGACATATTAATATCCAATATATACTAACGACTAAGATAATACTAAATAGACTAACGAAAAGTCTCTCGAGGTAGAAACATAAAGACTTCGTCCGCCAACTAAACCTCTTTAAAACGCCTATACTAGAAGGGAATTAACAAAGTAAAAGAAGTATTTAAGTAGAAGTAGCTAGACTATAATAAAAAATAAATAAAAACCGCGATCTAAAGGGGTATATTAAAGTATAAAAGTAGAATTAGGTAGGTATGCTCGGACTAGAACGAGCAATTTAGACTTATAATAATCTAGGTAAGACTAACTAATAAAAATACAGGGTTCCAAGTACCTTAGATAAGAGATATTCCTGGCTACATCTGGAAAGGAGAACACATAACATAGACAACAATATGATCACGATGATCCACGACACCAGCAGCTTCCCATGTTCGCCCCAGAGAGCTGTGGAGGAAGTTGAGAGCCATAGGATGATGTCTCTAGTCTATCCAGGTGTGCCATGGCAAGACCTCTAGCGCAAGGTATTCCGTACCTACCCGTCAGTGGTCTCCAGCCGAGCCGCCGAGACATCATGGTGGTTGCACTCGACGTAGACGTTGGCCCCTGGTGCAGGTAGAAGCTGAGAGTCGTGAGTCGTGAAAAGTACAGGTGGATCTTGGTACTGATAGCTACGACACTAGCGGTTGCTGCCTGCAAAAGCCTGAAAGGGCCTGAAAGGGGGAGGGAATGGGATATTGGCGGCAGACATTTGTGATGCAATGATCGGTCATTGCCTGCCGTGGGAATATGATGCCGGGGGCGAGATTTCTTGAATACCTTAGGCTGGCCACATGGCGCGTAGCGTCCTGTCGAGGCGAAGCCGCGAAGCTAGGTAGGAAAGATTTAGCTCAACGGCAATGCGGCACGCCAAAAGGCAGTATAGCATTCCATTTCATCACACCCAAATTCACTGCCTGGATGATTTCGCAGCTAGGAACAGGAAACGCTGGCTCGCTGTGTTGGGACGTTGTCCAACACAGCTCGTTGCTCGCGATGCAGCCAGCTCCAATACTCTCGACATGGACGGCGAACCGTAGATATCCATCCGTACCTGAACTCGCGCTCTGCACGGCGGCACGCACGGTTACATGGGGTGATGGCTTTCGCGGCAGGGCATCCCCTGTCCGTACCCGAAGGTGGGAATTCCTAGCAGATGCAATGTGTCAGGGGTTCAAGGCTTCAAGCTGGCCTAAGCTGAACACTCCGAGAGAGGAAATCAAAGCTGGCGATCCGATGTTTTTTGGGGTTTCCTATGGTTTAGTGTCAAAAAGTCCCTTCCCCTGCCTTTTTCACTCGCTGGATCATGGATGGGCATGGCACGCATGGGACGATTTGATGGATCACGATGCTGTGCTTCTTCTCATGGAGGTTCCATGTTGAGTGGCACTGGGCTCGCCTGGGCGTCTTCAACCAATGAAGTTTATGGGAACACTCCGAAGCCATTAAGATTGCGTGGGCCCAAAGATGGAGACTTTGAGATGGCTTGATGGGATTTGATTTGTTGGGGGAGGTAAACAACAGCGGGGAGGTTTCAAACTTTCAAAGGATTTGGCTCGGGTCTTTGCCATCCATTTATCATTAGAATGCTATCACTTTTACAAAGCGTGCCAAAGTACCGCCGATAGAGACAGTCAAAGTCGGGCAACTTTGACGGTCTTTCGATCCCTTCTCGCTGTGATGTTGGCGAGTAAGACGACCTTTAGAACCACAAGTCCACAGAAGGATGTTGTTTCCCCGCATAAAAACATCAGCAGTGCTTGGAGAAAGTCTGGGCTGAGGTCATGTACGGATAGTCTCGGTGTATCCGTACGGCGTGAACTACCAGAGTTGTAACTGTGCCGCAATCTAGCAGTCACTTTCCGTCTATCCCTTCAGCGTTCAACGACAACGAACGCCGATAACCCGGCAGCCGTTGCCGCTATGCCACGATTTAATTTCCCATCTTGCAAGGGACACTCACAGCTGGTGTCTGCAATATTAACAGCACTGCATTGAGTGCATGGCCACCTAATTACCATACAGCTAGCTACTTGCAGTAGCTCATCTCTAGTTCTCTAGCCTCTTGTGGCCTTGTTCGGGGCTGGATCCGGCACCGCCTCGCTACGTTGTATTCATGCGTCGCTAGTGCTGACGGCAGCATCTCGGGCGGCCGCTTCTCAGCCAACCACGGCTGGTCCTTCAACCTTGACATGTCACCATGGTTTGAAGGTTTTACCGTTTGCTCCTTTTTCTTGCCGTTAGTCAATCGCTGGTTAGTGGTCACTGGTGACGGGTTTGGGGGGCGCCGGCGAGTATTTCCCCGACAGGGCGCGCCGGTTGACGTCGATCTTCAGATGTTCGAGTCAAAACAGTGGTGACAGCTCAACCAACAGAGGAATCGTCGGTCTTGGCAATGAGGCTCGATCGCAAAGAACCACTCACTAGGGTCTGAATACTAGTGATTGGGGAAGGCCTCGGTACCGCTACTTTGTATGGAATAGAGATTTCAATAGTGCAGCCCTAAGGCCTTGTCAAAGTTTTCTTCAACGTCGGAGGCATGACCTGCTGGGATCTCGAGATGTGATGCTGTAAACCCCTGAGGCTTTCTCTGACACTGACGGACCTTGCCGAACACCCCGAACCACACAGGAAGGGCCGGAGGATTGAGTGCACAAAGAATAACAAGTATCTCACGTAGTATGCTGATCACAAGTTCGAAAAGTACTCCCTGTCCTCAGGGTTGTCTAGGCAGGTCCCTTCCGAGTAGTAGGCACAATGAAACTCGGACAAGTTGGCTGTCACGCTGCTTCCATGTTCTTAATCCTCAAGTCGCCAATTACAGCTGAACGTTGATCTTTCTCCTTCGGCGTTAAACAGGGCTAGCTTGGATTGCAGAATCTGGTATTCATGCGAAGGAGAGAACAAGGGCCCATGTGAAAGGACGCGAGGTTCACACAGAAAGCTCATTATCGCCTGTCAATGGCCACTGAGGGAAGTCCGCAAAAGAGTGACTTCTTCCTTCTGCTACCAAATATACACATTTCGTCGTCAGCAGATCCTAGCCGTTGTCATTGCGACTTTGCGAGCCGTGTTGATTAACCTTAAGCTCAAAGGCCAAGCCGTCAGCCGGTGCTTACGCTGGCGTAAGCCACTCCCATCGGCCTTTTAGCCATTCGACGTCCGTCCCTCAGTAGGGCTGACATGCATCACGGCAACAAGGCTCTATTCGACCTGACCACCGACCACCGTCATTTGGCGACACAGCAGCTTAGCAGTCATGTTGCTGACATTGGCATATGCAAACGATGCGTCAGAGCACCTGCGCAGTGTGTATTTCTGATTTCGAAATGCCATTAAAGAAGAAGTGGATGCCCAGTCGGGGACAAGGCTTGACCAGGTCTTGAGCTTCCTACCTCATTTTTCGCCAGTCTCATCATGAAGACCTTTTCCGGCTTCCTAGTTGCCACATGTTGGCTATTCGTGGCCTTGTCCAACGGCCACACAGTCCTCTCCTACCCAGGATGGAGAGGCAATACCTTCATCACGAATGAGACATATCCCTTCGGGATGCAATGGACATACCCGTGTACGCCCCCATCCCAATTCACCTCTTACCACATACGTCAGAGACGAAATTCCGCATCTCTTGCTATTCAAAGGCTGACATGAAACCCTCCCCACAGGTGGCGGCCTCGGCGTGACGCAAAACAGAACGTACTGGCCCATCAGCGGCGGCGCCCTCGCCGTCCAACCGGGCTGGAACTCGGGACACAAGACGGCGCTCATGTACATCAACCTCGGCCTCGGCGAGTCGCCGAAGAACTACTCCATGGTCATGGTGCCCCGGTTTCAGCTGACGGGGCCCTCGAATCAAGAGTACGAGGGGACGTTCTGCCTGCCAAAGGTGCCGCTGCCGGCAGGTGTGACGCCCAAGGAGGGGGACTTGGCGTCGATCCAGGTCGTGGAGGCTGCACAGCATGGTGCGGCGTTGTTCAGTGTACGTTGCGTTACGAGGTGTTGCAATTTTCATGATGACTTTGGTTGGGAATGTGCAACGTTACCGGGAGGCGGAGATGCGGGATGAGGTCGTGTGGCTGACTGTGACAGTGTGTCGATATCATCTTTACGGAAGACGTGTCAAAGGTTAGCCCGGTGACGGGAGACAATTGCTTCAACTCGACGAACCTCAAGGTCGAAGCGGCGACGCTTGAGACGAATTCTTCGCCCATTACCGATCCTTCGGCTCCGGCGACGACGACTACTGCTTCTCCGAGCGTGTCTCCGACCAGTGGAGCTCCCCAGCTGGCGTCAAGCTTTATTGTTATCTTGAGCTTGTTGTTGTTTGTTTGAAATGCTCCGGCAGGAGATAATGTTCAACGACTGGATGTTACCAGAAACAAAAAGGATAGCTGTCATCTTCTGAACTTTCCTGCCACTCGTACTAGAACAGGATGATGTTGTAAATTGAAGATACCATACGGCGGTGGAGACTTTACAGGGTGGAACACGAACTTTCACATGCTTCTGAGTTCATGATATGCAGAAGACGTGCTGATTTCCTGGGCGGATCTATTGACCTGTTCCCTAACTTCCCTCACTAGACCTCGTGATGATAAGGATTTCCCATCGCAGGTATGTTCATATGTCGAGCTCGAAGCGCAGTAGCCTGCTATTGCTTGACGGTTGACCCACCCTGAGGCACCAGGTGTACCATTCTGGAAGGCAGCAGTGAATCCCAATCATTCTAGCCCATGTTCACCTCCATGCCTCCCCACTCCATGACGCGGAACTTGCTCTGGTTCATCATGCCCTCCACGTCAATGCCAATCTTGCTGGGCCAGTCCAACGCATCCAGTTCCGCGTGATTCTCTGCGTTCTTGCTAACGACTACGCCTCTGAAGACGAGAAAGACTCTGGCGACACTGCTAGGGCCAGGAGTGACAGTCAACTTGCCCGCTTTCTCAAAATCGGTCTGCGGGATGAAGTTGAAGGCGATCTGAAGACCTCTTGAGCGAATTGACTGGAACTTGGGGAGCCAGTAAACGACCATTTCGGTTCGCATTGCCGAAGTGAGGGTGAGGCTGGCAAGAGCCCGGTAGAGATAGGGTACGAAGTTGTCAAATGACAGGACACAGTTGTCGGCAAAGTATGCAAGAGGGTTTCGGGGGTTGAAGAAATGAGCCTCTGTGACTGCGGATGATCGTTCAATCCAGGCTTCTGCCTCCCAGACCAGGCAGTTGCAGTCAATGTCGGTGGCGGTGTTCTTCAGAGTGCCATCGGGCTTGACAGAAACCTGCCAGGAGACATAAGCCCCTCTGTAGAGTGTATTGAAGGTCCAAGAATAGGGAGACAGCTCGAACTCGACATAGACGTTGTTGAGTTGGGTTGGTGACAAGAGATAGATTGCCGACTTTGCACCAATTATGTCGGGAAACAGATTGAGAATGTCGTTGTCGGTGACGGAGTATTCCCTCAAGGTTTTGTCATCCTCCAGGTCCAGGCCACGGAAAACGATTCTTTGGTGAGAAGGGTAGGGGACACCTTTGGCCTCTAAGGTAGATTTGAGGTCTGCAATGGTGGCGACTGGTGACATCATCACCGGGATGTTGCAACCGGCGGCTTTGGTAATGCATCAGCTCGCGATCTGAATGCCCTTCGTTCACGTACTCAAAAACTTACAAGTCTTGACAATGAAGTTGATGAACAGTGAGGAAGACTCGGTAATGTCATCGTGTCGCACTCGTTTTCGCTTGGGCGTCTCCTGGGTTCATCCTTGGGCTTGATCAACGGACCTGCTCTTGGCTCTAGGCGAAGGACCCAACCGTCCTCGACGACCCTGTAGGCTGACCGGTCAAGCTCGAACTCCTGCTCCCCAGACTTTGAAGTGCAATGACAGTCAGATTGACCGCCTTGCTGCCAAACGCATTCCGCGCGACAGTCATGGGATGATTGTAAGTCTCTGGATGGGCGGTGAGACGACGGCGATTTCCAAAGACCATCATGATCAAGGGACTAGCGGACATCGTGACGATTTTGACGGTTTCGCTTCGACTTTTTCAAACGTGAACAATCGATGTCTATTAGCGAAAAGTCGGGACCTTTTTCGAGAAAGTCGGCCGTTTGATCGTGGTGAAGGTAAAGCGAGGTTGAGAGCAGTGTAACAGGCTGAGGGTGAGGGGGGGGAAAGCTTGAGAGGTAAGTGCGGAAAATGATGAAAATTGGCGACCGGTTGAGAGAGTCGAAGTTGGGAAGGCGCAAGCAAGAAGTGGAAGATAGAAGTGGAAGGTACGGATTGCTTCTGCCTGACAGCTCCTTCCTGACTCTAGCGACCTGAAGAAGAGAAGGAAGACACTTGCAAAGGCATCTTCCTACCTTGGCTTGCCGTGCCTCAAACACATGGGAATTCGAGAGTGAATATTGGGGAATTTCATACATATCTGCCGAAGAAATGAGAAATGAGTTTCAAAGAAAGATGAGGTGGATTATCTTCTTTCGGCAAGACGAGAAGCAATTCTGGGCGCACTAACGGGGTCTGAAAACGTCTTTTCAGCACCTTGAGACTTCAGATAAGTACCTTAATCCAGTGATCCAGCTTCTTCGGAATGGACCTCCAATACTCGATGGCCTCCCTTCGAATATCGTCCTTCTCGATCCATGTCTCATTCTGTGGAGGCAATACTACTGTATTGGATCTGATGATGATGATGATAGGAAAAGCTGAGCGCTGGCTGGGCTGGATATCTGGGCAAGGTGTAGGTGGGGCAGCTCCGAGATGTGAAGGAGCTGCCTCACGTGACCCACCTGCACCTGCCACACCGCCCCTCAGGCCAGCCACAGTGAAAACTATCGTACATGTGAGAAGCAGGCTCAAATACCGACAATCCCAATTAGTCCTCCGCTGTATCCCATGCTCCGCCTATATCCTCCGTCCTGTGCCTGAGCCAAATAATCCTTTATCCCTTGTTTGTTCGGTCGGGTATAAGGATATCTATATGCTCATTTGCAAGCGATTTTCGTAAGGCCAAGCATTTTGACGAAGTTGGCGTGCTTCTCGTGATTTAACGGCTTCGTGAGTCCGTCAGCAGGCATGTCATGTGTTCGGATAAGTTTGAGGTTGAACAAGCCGTTTTTGACTTGATCGATGATCCACTTGTATCGTAGATCGATGTTCCTGGTTCGCGCCTGGTTTAGTGGATTCGTTACGTTGATCAGCGCGTTGCGGGAATCAGTAAATAGGACCGTAGGACGAGGTTGAGTGCAGCCGAGAAGTCTCAGCAGCTTATGAACCCATTGGACCGAAAGTCCCGTTGGAGTAAGGTTAATGAATTCAGCTTCCGTGGAGCTGGTTGTGACGTAAGTCTGTTTCTTCGACTTCCATATCACTGGGCCACCGGCAAGGATAACGACGTATCCTCCAGTGCTCACTCGGGTAAGGCGACAGTCGCCAAAGGCCGCGTCGCTGGCAGCATGGAGTCCGAGGTCATCAATAGGCATAGAAGCGTCAAAGGTGATGCCGAGGTCGACTGTGCCAGTGAGGTATCTCATGAGGTGCTTGATTGCTGCGAAGTGGTGCTCACCAGGGCGGCTGTTGGCTTCGCAGAGTTTGCTAGTTGCGTAAGTTATATCGGGGCGCGTACCGGTCGAGAGGAAATTAATAGAGCCTGTCATTTGCAAGTACAGCTTGCAACGGTCAGTTTCAACTGGTTCATACTCAACTGGCCACTTGGCGACGATATTGTGATCCATTGGTGTGCGGACTGGATGGAGGTCCACGTATCCGAACTTCTGAAGCATCCTGCGACAGAATTCGGCTTGTGATAGGTGGAGGGTCTTGGCTCTCTCATTGCGACAGACTTCGTAACCTAGGAATCTCTGAACGTCTCCCAGTTCTTTCATGCTGACAAATGACTTAAGGAGATCCTTGACTTTGCGAATAGTGTTCCGGTCTGGAGCAGCGATGACGTTGTCATCAACATACATCAAAACAATGCAGTTGTACTCGTCATGGATAAAAAGGCAGACTTCGCCTTCAATAGCTCGAAAACCGAGGTCAGTCATGTGACCTTTGATCTTGTTGAACCACCATACAGGTGCCATGGGGTGGCCGTAAAGGGCACGCTTGAGGAGGCAGACTTTGTCTCCTTGGCGATAGCCATGGGGCTGCTGGACGTACACCTTGGTATCGTCCGGGATAGAGGCGTGAAGAAAAGCTGTGTCGTAATCGAATAACTCTGCGATGTAGGTCTTGGTTGCAACAACAGCAAAGAAAACACGGATAGAGGTTGCATTAGCGACAGCTGCGTACAATTGTTCAGCGGACCAGTCAGATACCGCGTGGTTGCCACAGACAACCCATCGGGCACGATATCTGCCGTCAGACTTGATATCGCATATCCATTGGCCAGGAAGAATATTTTCTCCGGTTGGAGGGTCAACGAGTTCCCAGGCTTCGGCTTGCTGTAGCGCCTTGATTTGCTTATCAAAAGCAGGTTGCCACTTGTCCCACTCAGGACCCTCTTTGGCCTGCTTGAAAGTGCGAGGTACGGTTGGACCAGCGAGTGCGGCAGCGGCGATGGCAGATAATACTGGAGGCTGGTTGTCTTCCCACACAACTGTGTCAAGGCTGACATAGGCTTGTTGATAACCATCAGACTTGGCATACGTGTTGCCTCGGAGAGAGCAACCGCTGAAACCGCCCCTCTTCTTGACCCAAGTGCCCTGTGAGTTTCTGACATGCTCACGTGTTGAGGCTCTGTTTGGTTGGCTTGGAGGAGGGCGAGATTGACGAGTTCGTCTAGTTGGTTGTGTTGTAGGTTGAAGATCGTGATCTTCTGTGGCAACTACTATAGTTGCTTCATCTATATCCTGTTGGATAGCTTCTTCGATAGCGTTATCGAAAGATGTATCAGTATCGTGCTGTTGAACAGTTATGTTAGCAGACATCTGCTGATCAATAGGGCTGTCTGGTTCAGGGGTTGGAAGAGGGTTTTGGGTAGTTGCCTCTTCGGCAGACTTGTTGTCAGTGGTTTCGTCCTGGCGGTCAGGAGTGCTGGACGACTTCTGTGCTCCTTCATACTCAACAGATGAGGTGCTGGTATCTGGATCAGCAAAAATGGCATCGTGATCAATGGTTGGGTCATTGTCTTCGTCCTGGTGCTTGCCCTGTTCATAGAAACGAACATCGCGGCAGCGGTATACCTTGTGGCTTTGAGGTACGTAGACGTAGAAGAGATGGCCGTGAAGTGAGTCGTATCCAACGAGATATCCCTTGATGGCTCTTGTCTCCATCTTATTGGCGCGGGCTGGTTGCAATGACCCCTTGCGGTGGAGATAGGCAACGCAGCCGAAAGTGCGGATATGGTGGATATACGGTACGTGATGGGCTTCGTCAAGATTGAGATCTTTCGCGAGCATCTCGTGGGGGCTGAGATGGCCTGGATTGGTTGCTTTGGGCAACAGGTTGGCAATCGTGATGACTGTGGTGACGGCATAGTCCCAGAGATAATCAGGAAGGTTGGCGTCAATCAGCATGGTTCGGGCCGCCTCTGCAAAAGTCCGGCCAGCTCGCTCTGCCTTTCCATTCATGCTTGGGGTGTCAGCAACAGTCAATTTGACTTTAATGCCTCGTTTGGTGTACAGCTCCTGCGAAAGAGCATTGAAAAGCTCGGTGCCGTTGTCTATTTGAAACGCCTTAATCGAAAGGTTGGTCTGGTTTTCGAAGAAGTTGATGAATTCTTCGATACGATCAAGCACTTCGTCAGCACGCTTGCTCTTGAGCAAGTATCGCCACTGGAAGCCTGTACGCGCGTCGATCATGTGAATTAGATAACGTGACTTTGTATAGGACAAGGGTTCGAATTGTACCAAGTCCATGTGAATGAGATGACCGGGCTGGGCCTCTCGAATGGGGGTTTCTCTGCTGATGAGTTGTTGAGATTTGCCTAGGTGGCAAGCCTCGCAGTGAAAGGTGTCAATTTCTTGTTGAGGAAAAGTTATGCCCACACGACGGCAGGCTTCAACGACCCTGCTCTTGCCCGCGTGGCAAAGTCGCTTGTGCATAAGGTCAAATGTGACTTTGTTCTTATTCTTGCTTACCATAGCAAGGTTAAGGGCCGCGTTAATTTTCGGGCCTTCGTAGTTGTTGGTGACGATAACGGCAACATTGTTATGCCAATCGAGTTTGGCGATCGCGACGTTGTTTCCAATGTGGATAGTGTCGTCGCTGACCTTGTAGCCCTGCTGACGGAGTGTGCCTTGACTCAGCAGGTTGACTGGGCAGTCAGGGCAGTACTGTACATCCTCAATTGACCAGTCGACCACCTTGTTGCTGTCATCTGGATCAACGGCAGTGAAGTAAACCGTGCCGTAACCAGCTGGCGATGCGTACTGACCGTTGGCGACTTCCATGGGTGGCAGTATTGCCTCGGTGAAGGAGGTGAACCAACTGAGGTTGTTGAAAGTGGTTCGCGAGCACCCGGAATCCAGGATAATGTCGTCACGGTTAATTCTGCCCGTTGCCATCGAAGTTGAGCACGGCAAGACTGTATGTCCCATTGTGTTCTGGTGGAGAACGTTCGGCGTAGCCTTGACCGCGACTGCCTTACCCTCCCGGCATTCGGAGGTACAAGTATGAGCAGCAGCTTTCTTGAGCAGGTTCTCACGGTACTTATGGTTGGATGGGATGAGGTCGGGATGGGCGACCCAGCAAGAGGTAGTCGCATGTTTCTTGCCGCAGTGTTGGCAGTCAGGACCATTGTAGTTGTTGTTAGGTCGCTGATTGTTGTTTGAGGTGTTACCGGAGGCCTTGTTGTTGCCGTTGCTGTTGTTTCCAACGGCGACGTAGCCCCTCGCGGCATTGAGTGAAGCAGTCCTTTCGGCATTGGCCTTGAATGTGAGATCGCGTGTGAGATCTTCAAGGGTCTTGGTGTTGTCCTCGACGTACTTGTCGTAAAGTGCTGGATATTCTTGTTGGCATCCGTTGAGTAGGATGAACATGGCTTTCTTGTGCCAAGAGGGGACCGGCTCATCGATACGACGAATGAGATACTGGCCACGCTGGAGATACTTATGAGTATCTGAGAAGTCCTTTCGCTTGAGGTTGCAGAGCTCTCGAACGAGCTCGGCGACGGCATCCTCTGAAATCTTGGGGATGATGGTCTTCAATTTGTTCATGAGAAGGAAGGGGTTGCGGTCAGCCGTCTTGATGTCGTATCCATCAGCGAGGAGACGATCGAGGACTTTGCTGATTGATGCGATGATGATGCCGTACGTTTCAATGCGCTGGCTCTTCCAAGTAGTGAAGGCCACAGCCTGCGCTGGAGTGATAGGATCATCGCGATGGGGTTGAGAGACGTCTTCATCGACGTACTTCTCGTAATCGAGAGTCTCAAGGGTGAGATGCAGTACTGCGTACCATTGGTCCCAATTTTCTTCTCCCTTGAGGTCGGGCACCTCCCAGCGGGCGCGGTTGCCAGCCATGATGACGATGGAGGTGAAAGATTCGTGATAGTGTGTGTATAGGTGTAGACGGCCTGTACGGTCGCGTCTGTTATTGTTTTTTTTTTTTTTGAGGAATCTGTACCTCTGCCGTTGCCAGTCGCGACGCCGCGATCTCTGGTCGACAGATTAGTAACTGCTCAATTGAACGGGCTCTACGCAGAGCTGGGCGATCAATTCATATGGGGTAAAAAGAAAAAGAGTCAACGCTGGGCTCTCATAACCTGTGGAGGCAATACTACTGTATTGGATCTGATGATGATGATGATAGGAAAAGCTGAGCGCTGGCTGGGCTGGATATCTGGGCAAGGTGTAGGTGGGGCAGCTCCGAGATGTGAAGGAGCTGCCTCACGTGACCCACCTGCACCTGCCACACATTCTTACTGACAATCACTTGCCAACCCAGGCTATCCGAGCCGGGGTCAACATACTTCTTCCAATCTGCGGCACCTGCAGCTTTGAACCTATTCGGGTCACCGCTGACCACAAAGCTGGCGTAGAACCTTGACAGAATAGTCCCGGCTTGGGGGTATTGCGTGTCCGGTTCGGCCCAGGCGTATGGAACGTCAGAGCCATGCGAGATCCCGAGGTACGAAGCCACCTGTTGTTAGTGTTCCAGTGCAACTTCCACACTGGAATTTCTGCAGCAGAAAGACGCGTGGCAATTTCCTGAGAGGCGCTGATGTAGGCTGTGTCGCCGTAAATCGCAGTCAGCCGGGTAAACTGAGCGGACTGGCCCCGGGAGTCTGCAAAAGGGCTTGCTGGGTTGGTTTGAGGGTCCGGGTAAAGGCGCGAGAAGACTTCTCTGTCGCTTTCGTTGAGTCCGGGGTAGAGGTTGGACAATCAGCCCCATGCTTCATCGTCCGTTGTCAGGTTCGTGGGTGCGTACAGACTGCCCTCGTCGGTGATGAAAGATGTAAGAGCCGGCAGGTGATTCCATTTGTCTGCGTCCCAGGTTTCGGATGGGAGACGAGGAATGATGACAGCATCTGGGAAGCGGGTTAGTCTCCAAAATGTTCAATCACCTTTCTGTCACTCCGAGGCAACCTTCTTAGTAACATGGAAGAAGACTTACCGGACACAGATTGGAAAGGATGAGTGCCGTTAAATCGATACGCCGCTAGCAAAGCAGTTGCGGTCTTCTTCAGGACTTCAACGTCTACGGCTCTCAAGCATGAAAGCAAGTCCTCAGCGGTTCCATTGCTCTGACAACCAACTCCTTCCACATACTGTTCAAACTGCCTAATCGTCAACGGGTCCGACACACTAGGGAACGAGCGTCCCGTTGGGCCGCCGGACTGAAAGATTGCCTGTTGAAACAGCTCTTCACCAGGAGTGAAGGTATTCTGATAGTGGAAGCCCACAGAATGAGCGCCAGCCGATTTGCCGCCCAGGGTGACGCGCTCGGGGTCGCCTCCGAATGCTGAGATGTACCGGTGGACGAAACGGAGAAGCTGGTGTTGATCCTGGAGACCAAGGTTGACGTTGCTGAGGTCTGACAAGATGGGGTTTGCTAGGAAACCCAAGGCGGCCAGCTGAGAGAACTAAATCAGCAATGGATTTAAAGATCGACTAGACAGAACCTGAATGTACCCTGTAGTTGAAAGTCACGACGATGAGTGGTTCTGGAGAGGAGGCAACCAGTGAAGCGCCGTCAAAAGTTATGCCCGCGCCATTGCGGAAAAGACCCTGGGACGGCAGTTAGTCGGCGAGTCCAACTCTGTGAGGTCATTGACGAGATCAAAGGGAAACTCACGCCATGGATCCAAACCAAAACGGGTAGCTTCTTATCAGCGCTCACGCCCGCCGGCCTGTAAACATTGAGGTTGAGGCAGTCTTCGCCATATTCTAACTCGGTCGTGATGTAGGTGACCAGGTTTGAGTTTCCGGGCTCTTGAATGCAGACTTTGCCATACGAAGTACAGTGGGGTGCCACAAGTTCGTGTACACCCCACCATTGCCCAACCTCCCGCATTTCCACCACCATACTTCGACTGGCCGCAGAACTGTCAAACTTTTGATTTGTATGGCAAAACTATGGGCAAAAGAAAGCCCTGAGTTTGCTCTTTAGTATCGTGTATACCACCCTTGTGCTTGAATTACTGCCGCAAGTCGGCGCGGGATAGAGTCGATTAGACTCCGAATCTTGAGTTGTGGGATGGCTTCCCACGCCGCCCTTAATTGCACTTTGAACTCTTCTATATCTAACTCATTCCTCCTTAAAGTGAATGCTTCTGGGTATAGTCTACGCAAGTTAGACTTCATCATACGCCAGCAATGCTCAATTGGGTTCAGATCGGGCGAATAAGGAGGCCATTCGAGCCAGGAGATCCCCTGGGCCAATAGCCACTCTGTCGTACGATTTGCCGAGTGAATAGGGGCATTATCCTGGACAAAGTGCCGTGTCTCGTCTGCGTGAGGTAAATACCCTTCCTCTAGGCATTGTATATAGCTGTTTGTACTGTAGCCTTGCCGTCGGGAGGCACCGTCGCGAGTGAGAAAGACCAATCCAGAGCGACCATCTTGCCATACCATTGCCCATACCATAATAGATATATTCGCCTTAACGTGGCTCACAAGATTGATGAATCTCTTGCTCCAAAGGTCTTGCTGTAACCTGAACACCCACTCTGTTGGGGCAGAGGTGTTGTTCTGGCATGAAGACTCGTCAGAGAACTGGCACTAGATACTCAAGAATTAGAAAATGAATCTCCATACAAGGCCTTGCCACCAAACCACATACTGCCATCAATTCGTCTGGGTTTCGGATCCAGTTTCTTGCAAATTCGAGTCTCTTGGCCGCTGCTTCTGGTGTTATAAAGGGCCGCTTCATAGCTCTCCATTTACGGTAGCTTCCCTTCTTGAGAACACGCTTAATAGTGCGGAGACTAGCTCTGCCTTGCCACTCAGCAGCGAGCTCATGGTACGGTTGCCGGTAGTTGATTCGAACAGATCTGACTAGAGCCCTTTTCTCCGTATTAGAAAGATTCTCTGGCCTTCCTTTCCGGGGCAGCGACTGAAAGCCGTTGCCTTCAGTGTATCGATGAACCGTCTTCTGCACCGTCGAATGTGGCAGGCCGAAGAGCACCGCGACCTCGCGGTAGTTTTTCCAGCCATAACAAACGCGGTAATCGCTACTCGCTGGACTTCTGTGAGTTCATAGTTAACTCTGTGACTCCCTATTATTCCAGAGCAAAAAGCATGTATTTTGGCCTCCATTTGCTAAAGTTGTGGTATGTGGAAGAAAAAGAGGTGTTGGGGAGAAAACGCGTCGGAACGCGTGGTGGTGGGGTGTACACGAACTTGTGGCACCCCACTGTAGCGTCCTTTGTCCGGTTCGAGGAAGAAGGCCACCCGACTGGCGCGAAACGAAGGTCGCCGGTGGGTTGTTCGGCATAGTCGATGGCATACCATACGTCCACTGCTGTCGCGAGCGGGTAACCAGACGTGGTGTTATACAGAGTCTTTCCGATATAGGATCCGTATGATGGAACATGGACAACCAGAGAGCTGTTAAATGCGACTGGACTTCCGATGCAGCAGCAAAGAGCAGGGTACCAATGGCGCCAGCCCTGAACCAGAAACCTCCTTGAGCATGCGACGGAAACATGACGACGAACACAGAAGAAGACACGGTCAAAAGAGGGTGGTTTGGGGCAACTCTAGGAGTTGGAAACCCATTTCCAAGCTCCCCTCTTTCAACATTGATATGAGGTTACATAGGGAGGTAGAGCCGATTACTTGCCGGTGATTGACCCCTCTTGTCGTTGGCATCCTTGCAAGTCCCACAAACAAGGACAAGATCCCCGCCGGAAGCTGATCGCGCAAGAGCTGTTTAGATGACGAGACTTGCAGACGAAAGCAGCAATCGTGCGATTAATCTGAGAAAGCCTTAATTGTGCTGCCTCTCATGTATGCTGTAGTGATTCCAGGCAAAACAATGTTGCTGGTTTCATTGGTTAACGCACCTCTAGAAATTCCAACGACCAGGTAATCGGTTGAACAATGAATGCATCCTGAGTAATTTGATGCTGTAGATCTCTAGGAATCCCTGTCTTCGAGGTCTTGGCACTCAGGAACAGTCTTCTTCAAAATATCTATCGGGAGCTATCAATGATCCATGCCATGAGCGATAGGCAGCCTTTCGGAGATAGTAAGCCGAAATCTGAGTGATTAGGAATGGAGTTCAGAGGTCGTTATCGCAGCTCCATAACCCCGGACCCTCATTCTATCCCTTCACTCAGTCCTGGGGAAGCTCGAAGGGAAGTTCAGGGGAGGTGTCAAAGACCGAAAACGGCTGGACCCGCCGCGGAGTCCGGGGACTACGCCGGCACCGGAGCTTTGTTTGCCTGCCGTAGATAGGCAGTGCATCCATAAGACAGGGGCAAGACCCGCGGATCTGGATACGAGCTTAGCGTCGACATTAGGTATCCTCAACAACCATACAAGTGGACTCGCGAGCTGCAGCGACTCATACACAGCCAGGCACAAAGATCAGGGGCAGCTATTGCTTGTCATTAATTGAAAGAAAAATAATCATTCCGTCAACTTTCTCGCAGCCACCCTATGTATTTTGCTTGGATATTCATGTTTACCATTCCCTCGGTACGGCTCGCTCTAGCTTCTATAAACACCACCACTATCCTTACTCTCTATTCATCATCACCGGACACCCTCCTGATCTCTTGCCATCAACTACATCAGTGTGCAATTTGCTTATGTCTTCGGCCGACAGCTGCACATCCTGTGCCACCGCCTCGTCAAACCTTGCTTCCGGGCCGCGGTTATCAGTCTTTGCCTCCTTCTTCACCACGCCACCCGGGGCAATCTGCCGGAACATCTGCAGCGAGTCGAACCATGTGTCTACGCCCTGCAGACGCAGCTGATCGTCCACACGCGCTATCGTCACACCTTCAATGTCGATCTGTCCGCCGTGAGCTTTGGCGGTGACCTTGTCTCCTTTGCTGTACAAGTGCCTTTTGTCAGTCGCAGTTACACGGCCACACCCGAACAAGAAAGATGACAGATGTCTGCAAAATGGAAGTGGCAAATCAAAGGCGCGTCGGGGGATACACTCACTCGTTGAAGCCGACGTAGTCATTCTTCATGACCCCCCAGTGGCGCCACTTGAAGGCGATGCACGGCGGACCGCTGTAGACCTCAATGACCTCCCAGGCGAAAGTGGGCATCATGCGCTTGAACGTCTTGTGGCTGGACGCAAAGTCTGAGTAGTCCGGGCTGTAGTACTCGTTGGGCGTGATGACGGCGTTGTAGGTGCCGACTTTGAGCATGTGCTCGCCCGTCTGTGGGGTGCCGCCGTTGACTGAGAAGGTGTAGTTGGCATGGTCGACGGTCCTCCAATCTTCGAGCTTCGTCTTGAAGGAGGCCTCGACCTCCCAATTCTTCACCAAGTTCTCCACAATCTCTTCGAGACTGCCCGCCTTGTGGTTCATCTTTCTTCCTAAGAAGGTATTATTGTCAGCTTGGGCTCTTCTCATACATCGTGTCCGTACACGCATGACGTGTTGAGTGGGGTGTGATCTTACCTTCTCTCCAGACTTTGCGTGTTCTCGTGTAATCTGGCGCCCTGCCGTATCTCCACTGAACGCCCTCATCGCCAAAGACGGCGTTGGGTGTTGTAACATAATCCGGCAGCACGTTTCTCTGAGCGGCCGCGGCCTGCGGCGTGGGGTCCTGAGCGTTCACGAGAACCATGCTTGCTGATGGGAGCTTTCGGCGTTAAGAAATTTTGAGAAGAGTGAGACGAAAGAGGCTTGTTGGCTCTTTAATAAGTTCTTGGAGAAATCTGCCACGGGGGCGTTCGTTGTCGCACGCAAGTCGGTGGTGGAATATGTCTTAGATACGCGTGGAAGAGAGGAGAGACACGGGGCGTTATACAAGTTCTTTTTCTCTTCCCCCTTCTAATAGTGAGGGCAATGATCCTTCAATCACGGCCTTTCCCTGAAACGGAAATCGCAGCGGGATGAGGAGAAGGAAGGAAATGCGAATCACTCAAGGCACCCAAAATAACGTTCCAGTCTGCGCCGCAGGATCGGGTGGGAAGTTTTCTGCAACGCGTGCTGCAATGGGACGGACGACGGGCGGGGGGGAAGGAAAGCTGGGAGACGTCCGAGCTCACAGATTATCTTCGGAACACAAGCAGATCCGTGTGTTGGGGGCTTGTAGAACGACGCAGGCCTGGAATTGGACCCAAGCTGGCTGAGACGGGCCAAAGCAAAGGCAAAGAGGTGCGGGTGGTTACACGGGCACTGGGCGCACCGCAGGCGGCAGAAGCAAACAAGTTCAGATTATGCAGTTTGATACGCTGAGCGTCGTCCCGGGAAGCGAAAAGCCCTGGGCTCATCTGACTTGATCAGCAATTTGTTGTGATTCACATATCCCGATTGTGTGGGAGAGAACAATGGAAACGTACATGATGCAGGCGGCGCGGAACGAGGATAGGAGAAAAGCCACCAAACCGGTATTGATGCGTTATCGTACGAGGAGTAAGCAAGATCTCTTCGCCAATCGAGACTCTTTATGCCGAAACTGAGGGGGAGAAAGCTTAATCGTGCTCAGAGGCAGATTGGCTTTTCTCACTATCTCAGAGCACGAAGCCATTCTTATGTACATTGGCAGAGAAGCCTTCACCGGCACTCGAGAATTGCAAAATTTGGCAGGGAAAAGAAATTATAGAATAGAGGGAGAAGCGAGAAATGTTGACACTTGTTGAGCGGACGCAGGGAGAGGAAGGGAGGCTGCAATATCAACTTTCCATTGGCTCGACTGAAAGTTAATAATCAGCCAGATCGACGAATCTAATAACCGGGCCCCTCCCCTGAGTTGTCTCTCCTCCTCCAGGAGCGAGTACAATGTCTTTGATTTATCAGGTCTGTCTGGCTTGTGGGTTGCAAGAGTTGTCTCAGTCTGATAGCCACGCGGATAGGAAGGCAAGCAACTTTCCGAAGCTGCGGCGGCCAATCGCGCACCGCAATCCCAGACAAATCGAGTCGATCTGGCGTTAGTTACTAGTCGGGGATGTCGGGGGTTGGCTCGCACAAGAAGAAACGAGGACGGCGTGCTAGTGACACCTTGCCTCGTGGTCTGGCACGCTGGGAAAGTGAAACAACGCACTTCGCCACGCGACAATGGGGCACTCGATGCCGTACTACCCCCCTTCGAGCGTCATCATCATCGGCATCATCATCGATGAGACGGAGAAAAAGTCCTCGTTCCCGACTCGTGGATAAAAAGAAAGCAAGAAAAAGCCACAAAGAGCATGGCGCTTAAGACAAGAGACCAGAACGCACAATGGGAGCGTTCTGGTTGGCAGGAGATACAGTCTTGAACCCGTGAAGTCGACATTAGGATCCTTCGCCGTTGAGGGACGCATTCCAGTCAAGCCTCTATGTCATATGTCAATTAATGGGATGAAGTTGAATGGGCCACACATGCCGTGCTGCCATAGTTTGGTCATTGACCGGGTCATCCGAGATACGATTCGGCTTAGCCGTCTCAGACACAACTTGTGCCCGACAGTCTCTTGTTGTCGCACACTTCCATGGGTAGATCCAGCCATAGGCCTCCCGACGTGGTTGCGCCGAGGGTCCCCGCAATCGGACGAGCCCTGAAAGTGGAACCTCGTCCGGAATGTGTCGTTAGAGCGGGACGGGAGGCGCCTCCGTTAGCGGTCTTTTGTTTATCCCTCTCGTCGACTAGAGTCTCCCAGAGTGGTAATGTCTTGTCAGCAACACGCAGTGAAACTTGCCTGTTTGACTGAAGTTAACGCCTTGGAATTGATTGGCAAGATTCCTCAATGCATACATGACCTTTGTTTCCTTAATCCCATTGGAACTCAGACCATTCGGTGTGGCTCGTGCCCCAAGCATTCGGCAAGCCACCTTTTTGCTTGATTTCACCACCAACGAGGACAGTATCGGCTTTCACAATAGACATTTGCCGGACTGAATCGCGATAACATACCCTTTCTATACAACAAGGCATCCCAAAACGAAGGTCAGGGTCCCATCAGAAGCCCAACAAGGCTGGTGTCAGCAGCCGGCTTTAGAGTCGCATCAAATATTACGACCGCGCGGGTAATGTACTTTTTGCGCTGCACTAAAAGCAGTTGCCAACCTAAGAAGTCAATTCCGCTTTCTGTGAGCCAGTATAGTCGCTCCAACGCGGGAAACATCCTAGCAAAGAGCCGATCTGTGGAGAGCCTGCAGGTACCGTCGCAATGACATCGAAAGACATCGGATGCCGCCGGCTAGATCCTAGCCATACTCTACGAAGGCGGCACGAGGCGGATACCTTTGCCAGATAGCTGTGCGGAGGTTCTGGAGAGTCGCCCCTCACTCGGACTATAATCATTTCTGGACTTGCTTGCAACCTTCCGTGATGAGCTGTCAATAGCCTAATTGTCTCCACGTATAGGACCACTGTTGACCGCGCTTTGTAACGATTTGATCAGCTATTGAGGCCCTTTCAACTGACTAGTAGGTAACTGAGCATGATTGAATGGGAGTAAAATATCTCCGAGAGACTTAATCGCTCTTGAGGCGGTCGAGGCGATAAGTATAAATACTTGATAGAGTTGATAACCAAAGATAATAGACACATTCACATTGCACCCAACTACACCTTATACCGACAACAAAGCTAAAGACGACCTATTCAGTAGCATCCTTCAATTCCAGTTCAGCCACCCTCCCCAAGCGGTCATCATGCAGTTCACCATCACCACCCTCGCTGTTCTCGCCAGCGGCGCAGTCGCTCAGTTCTGCGGCGTCGTCACGTCACCCGTACAAAGCTATGTTCCTTGCACATTGGAACAATATCCTGTGATGGATGCCGAGTGTACGGCAATCGGTGGCACAGTATCCGGCCACAACCAAGAGAGCGGAGATGCTCGTTCCAACTGCATCACCTACTGCAACAACGTCCCCACCGGCGGACAGGATACGACTGGCAACATTCTTGGCCGTCACAGCTACCACGTTTATGTCGTCGACTCTTGCACTAGCTGTGGCTACTGCGGTGCTCTGTGAAGAATGCACACGAGATAGAACAGCGACAGAAAAAAGAGGCCAGCCAAGCTATTTAGGAAAGGATCAGAGAGACCGGATTTGGCATAAGGCTACGTACGGGAGGTCCAAGAATTGGGGAGACAGCAAGCCAAGTTGGCGCACGTACATGTAGTCTGATATTACCTCGTATAACATTTCTCTGTACATTCCAACACAGTTCAACGAGCGGTAGCAATTTGCATCTTGTATCCCGAAGCCGGCCGCTTCTGCAAATGGCACCATAGCTTCCCAATTCCAACCACTCGCTCGAGCACAATGTCGTGACGACAAAACCTCTTGACTAACAAAATATACATGTACTAAACTTGGCGACAGTGTGATTTGCGTCCACACGCTCGATGCTGACTGAGTCGACGGGACCAAATGCATAAAATGCTTTTGGTAAATCAGCAATGCCATATGTGGTGACTTCAGTAGCCTGCCACCCTCGACTTCACCTCGACGTGAAAGTTCTGAGGCTTGACGAACCATGCGTTGTTAGTTTTCCACGCCCCTCCTGGCGCAGCGGCCGCACCTTCAAGCTTGAAGTCAAAGTCCCGGATGAGCCTAGGAATGAGCTTTGCCATTTCCAGGATAGACACATTCTTGCCCAGGCATGTGCGGGATCCCAACCCAAACTAGAATACGACTCGTGTTAGAAATCCCATGCACCAAGAGATCTGGGTGATTGTGAGCAAATGAGGATTCATCTTACAGGCATCCAGTTTCTGTTCATCACGGAAATCTTCTCGTCGTCCTCAATCAGCCAACGATCGGGGTTGAACTTTTCGGCATCGTCCCCGAAAATGGCTGTATTTCGGTGGTGGACCCAACTGTTGATTCCAACGACGGACTGGGAAGAAGAGTCGAATCGTTAGTCCTGACGTATTATGGGCTAAAGAGAGTAAACTTACTCCCTCAGGAAAGAAACGACCACCAATGGTAGCGCCGCCCTCGGGAACGATGCGTTCAAGTGGCAGGCCCACAGCTGGATGGACTCGCAAAGCCTCCTTGATCACTGCTTGAAGGTATGGCATCTTCTGACTCTCTTTGAAGGTCGGCGCCTGAGAAAGTTCGCCTCGGCTGGTGAAGTGTGCAATCTCCTCGCGAAGCTTCGCCAAGGAATCGGGGTTCTTGAGTAAGTTGTAAACAATGGCGGAGATGCTGATACCGGTTGTATCGGATCCGGCAAAAACGTTGCTGGCGCAGCCGATGAAAATATGCCAGTTGGTGAACTCAGTAGGGTTGCTAGAGTGCTTGGCCAAATACTTGGTGAGAAATGTCTCCCCAATAGCAGTGCCGTCTTCGGCACCCTTGACCTCGATCACTGTCTTCGGTGAAGCTCGCTCCTCCTCAATGGTCTGCGCTATGAAGTCGATCACGTACGTCATCCCTGCTCCCATACCAAGACGCTTGGTGATGTTGAACACCAGTGGTGCAATGTATACATGCACGGAAGGAAAGATGCCGGTCAAGCTTGAGTATAGCATGTTTTTGTTGATGTTGTCGATGACTTGGGCAATGTCTTCGCCACGATCCAGGAACCCGAGTCGCTTTCCGTAGGTCATCATCGCAACCGCATCGAAGGCGAAGCACTGGAACCAGTGCGCGATGTCTATCGTGGAGCCTGTCTTTGCAAACTCCGAAAGACGTTGAGCGAAGAGAGCACCGCACTCGTCCACGTATGGCTCGTAGTTGACGAGGGATGTCATGGAGTATGCGTTGGTGTAGAACCGTCTGCTGTGAGCATGACGCTTCACTGAGCGGTCCGAGAAAAGGTTCCATAGATCCTCGTTGGGCTGGAACGGGATGTACCACTCCGACTTCTGGAATTGCGTGCCGTGGCCGTAGACAGTCTTGAGGGCTTCCGCGTCGTTGATGCTGTATCGGTTCGGTCCATATCGCACAATCGGCCCTGGCGAGCAAAACGAAACGTTAGTGCATCTACTGTTTGCTACTAGTTGACGTCCTTACCGTATTGTTCGTGTAGTTCTTGGTTGACCTTCTCAAATTTCCCTTGTTTAAGCCGGTGAAAATACCAAAAGTCTGAATAGCGAGCTAGAAATGGTCCGGGTACTGATCGTAGGGGGGAGCGAAGCCATTGAACAAAGGAGAACAGAATCTGTGCTAGCAAGGCAAGGCCTGCAAATGCCAGTAAGAGCTGGGTATTCATCGCAAAGATGCACGTACAGCTTATGAGATATTGTGGATGAAAGACAAATTTGATAACAGTTAACAAGACGAAAAACGTGTCCGAGAACTGGTTTCGGGCTTTTCTCGTTTACGGAAAACGAAAACAACAGGTTTTTATAGCAAAAGAGCCATCGTACTTGAGACGAACGTACCCCGTCATCAATTGTCAGATAAGTACGCAATCAATCCGCATCGTCATGAAGTTGAAGATGTAAAGGTGTACAGCTTACAACTATCATTGGTGCATGACATGGGACGAGACATAGGCGACCTTAAAATGCTAGGCTATGGGGATATTGTCGGGACCGAAACCTTGTTCATGTGTCGAATAGCGTGGGTCGAAATAGTAAGACATTCACCCTGCACGCCGTGCATAGACACTCAAGTGGATCATTACATGCGAATTGCACCCTCAAGGCGGGTAGAAACGCCAATGGTGGAGAGTCGGACTGAGGTCTTCCAGATGAACGTTTTCAAATCGAGTCAATTGAGAGGACTATCTGTACAAAATCCATCTACAAGAATTCAAAAGATAAAATAAACATCTTACTGAATGCCTGGATTTGGAAACTTAGAAACGACCATCCATGTCCATGAACATGGGGTCTCTGGTTGTCAGACGGGGAAACCGTTGATCTTGGCCGGTGTGTTTTGGGTTTTCTAGGCGGCAGAACTCGGGGATGATAGTTGTCCGAGACCGACGTCCGACCCGCAAAGCGACGTGACAGCCAGCCTATGGCCGGCCGCGGAGAGGCGGCGGGGTGGAGCATCGCGGCGAGTGTTTTCGCCGTTGACCGTGATGGCGTACGGCTAATTTTCAGGGCTACGAGACGCAGAGTTCATTAAGCTATCTCCTATGCCCCCGACACCCGTATCCATCGCACGTTCTCTTCAGTTTGAACGAACGACACGTAGGAAGGCAGAATGGTAATTGATCCGCGAACTGATGTGTCGAAGCTCGAGTCGACAAACTGAAGGGACCCTTCCCAGCGATTCTCACAGTGCAGTCCACCCATGTCTGTAGTGCAGTCCACCCATGTCTGTAGTGCAGATAGCATGCGTTCTGCAAAAAACGGGAATTCCTCTACCAATGTTACCAATACAGCAAGCATACGGTTCTTCTCTAAGTATCTTAGGAAGTTTCGGCTAATCCCATGTCGACTAGATCGAGCGCGTAAGGTACCTTGGTCTAAGGTATGCTCTGGCGCTTGCCTGATGGGGACATGTATCCCATCGGGTGCCAGTGGACTACAGTACTTTTGGGGCCACTTTTGGAGCCACTTTTTCTCCGCACCACATCAGTACATCGAAATACGTCACTTACCCCTATGATTTTATCCCTACTTTCACCACCAAAATCATCACTTTACTACATGTTATGATGGATTCTGACGATTCTGACGCGTCTACGACCTCCGTACGATCATATATTCACGTCGCCATAACCCAAGAAGACCTCAAAGTCGCCTATACTACCGATTATACGCCCGAGACCTATAATAGGGCTACATACCGACCTTATCTCATCGGGTGCGGATGGACAGCACTTTCGCCAAGGGCGGGGTAGAGCCAATAAGAGCTTGCAAATGTATAAAGTTAACCAATAGGGCTGTAGTACCTCTGTTTCATACAGATTTTGGGTATGCCAGAGGTACCAGCAATCTTTATTAATGCATAATGGTACATTACAATCTAAGCAACCCCTTTCGAGTTGTTTGCCGTCGTTGCCGAGTGATGGTATTCCCAGATATCTCCTTGAAAACCTTCCTACTACCACAATAGGTACAAGGTGAAGATACCTTCCTTGATCCCTTCCTATGCTACTCCCATAGGATAGAAATATTCCTCTTATCTAGGTATACTCAGACGGCTCCAAAGCTCCTGACGGGGCTACAGGGTTCGGCTTTGTTATCTACCGCAACAATAAACGTATAGCCCAGGGCTGCGGCCGTCTCGGCTTAGCAGAAGTGTTTGATGGTGAGGCGGAGGGGGCGAGGGCTGGGCTCCGACGGGCCCTTCAGACCTCCCAAGGCCAGCCTATACACATCTGCATCGACAATACCAGCGTTATTCAGGGGATTCGCGGTAAGGTCCCAGACTCCTCACAAGCGGCCTTCCTTGAGATCCAGGAGGTAGCTAGGATACACGATATACAAACCCATTGGTCTCCTGGGCACCAAGGTATTAAAGGAAACGAAGAAGCAGACAGCCTAGCTAAGGAGGGAACAACTCTACCAGTCCTTAGGGGCCAACTAGCTACTCTATCAGGTATCAAGTGGCTTGCTAAAGAGCGGCCAAGACGCCAATATAGACGATGGTGGAAACAAGAGGCAACTCCCCGCTATACCCAACTAGGGCTCAAGGCTACCCTTGCTTGCCCTCCTGAACTTGGCCTCCCTAGGGCTGCCTTTCATCACCTTCTCGCGGCACGGTCAGGCCACGGGGACTTTAAACAATATCACCAACGCTTTAACCACACAGAAGCACTACTCACCTGCTCCTGTGGATGGGTTAAGGAGGCAGACCATCTAGTCTACTGCCGAAAGACCCTACTGAGGAGGCAACAGTGGCCCACCCTCTACCCCTACAGCCGCCAGGAGCCCGTAGGACCTATAGGGTCCCTCGATCGCTACTTCAAGGGGCTAATCACTGACTCTGAAGGCTTCCAGGCCTTCCTCTGCGTGACAGACTTCTTCCAGAAGATCTGCCCGCGGTACTAGGAGATAGGTCATAACCTATCCTCCAAACGACAAACTACCTCTAATAAGAAACCAGATAGTTATAACGGAACTAGGGCACCAGTGGGAACTAGGGATGGATAGAACACATAGTAGCTCACGAGCAAGATTTGGAGGACGTCAGGATACGGCGTGTACTATATAGTATGCAGCTAGAGCCTGCGACCCTTCACGCCACATACCCTCCGGGAGGTCTGCCGCAAGGGCGGCTGCGCCCTTGCCGCCATGGCGTTAAATAGAACAACAACAACAACTCTTATCTATAGCCCGTCCAGGCCGTGATAGTCTTCGCCCGCCTACTAATGGTCCAAACCGTTGAATAAGCTGGGTAGCCAGCAACTACCGCCATTGGTAGTGGGTTTTCACCTTTTTCTACCTAGGGCTGCCCCAGAGCTGCAGTAGGAAGCTATTCACAACTACCACTTCTAGTAAGAAATTCCAGGCAACTGACTGCCAGCCCCCTCGACGAATAGGGTGGTTATATTGATAGTAGGACCTCATCTGGTCACTCACATCAACCGCATTCATCTTATGATTATATTCATCAATTACCCTAGGGATTAGAAGGTCTTTGCGGACATCCGGGCCGAAGACTTCCCGGGCGGCGGCGGCTGCGAATAACTTCCTGGCCGTCCTGGAAGACAGGTGACAGGAAGAGTACGAGGGTATTATCCTTCCAGGTAAATTGGTTGACCTATTTCCTAGTTAGCTGAGCCGGGCAGGGCTGGGCGGGCTAGCAGCTTACCTCCCTATCTAAAATAGGGATATAGTGTATATCCCCCTATAGGATACCCCGTTCTTTAGTCTCTTTCTTAGCAACTAGGATCTTATCTATCCCACTATCCTTCCGGCAGGTACTAGAAGCTCCAACTTGTTGATTCCGTAGGGTATGAAAGAGACGTATAGAGTCGAAGAGGTTGTCAAGAAATACGTGGTAGGTTGCAGCTGGAAGTAGGGAAACAAGCGTAGTTACTACCCGCTGCGTTGGTGTTAAGAGAGCCAGCTTTCCAGCAGCTGCCCCGGCTGGCCGGGCCTGGGGTACTAATGCGTATGGGCCCTTTCCATGTACGTGCCACAGCCACCGTATACAGTAGCCAGACTGGGCAAGGATCCAGATCTTATAGCGAGTTGGGATAGGTTTCGTTGGAACCGTTGTTGTCTCAAGAGATCGGCCTGTAAATCGGACCATAGCCTCGTCAACTGTAAGGTCTGAACCAGGTATATAAAGGGAATCCCCAGTCTCTTGGATGTAGGCTGACCACTGGTTAACTTCCGGTATATATCTGGGATTTGATCTTGGATCTGGCCCCGGCCCCGGCTGGGCTGGGCGCGCTGCTCGGGCTGGAATTCCGCAGTATTGAATATCCGTAGTCGCTGGAGTAGTAGTTGGAAACGGTCCCGGGGCATAAACCGTGTAAATAGGTGGATAGGATCCTCTCTCTGCTGCTGGGTTGACCAGTAGATTAATAATCTAGATTCTCTATAGATCCCTATATATAATAGGATCCCTAAGAAGAGGTAGATTTCGTCTGTTGAAGTCTTCCTCCACTCATATATTCTAGCCCGTCTAGCCCTAGGGCCCTCCCTAGATAACGGTGCTGCATTCGTCCACTGGGCCCACTGCTCAACGAGGCCCTGCGGAACGTACTGCATGAATAGGTCAAGCGGGCTTGCCGGCAGCCCCCGTACCTCTTGGGCCCGGGCCGGCACGTCAAGGGGCCGAAAGGAACCCGGAAGGCCATGCTCGGTAGCTGGAGGTTCGTGGGGCCGCACTGTTGCTACGTCGCAGCGTTCTGGCGTACAGTCTGCATTGCAGGCAGCAGTAAGGTCTTCTGGGTAGACCTCAACTACTATACAGCTACGTATAGAAGTAACAGAAGCATTAGATGCAATAGAGGTATAAGAATCACCAGAAGACATCATAGCATCATTCAAAATGGTAATAATAGTGGTGATAATAGGCAAAAGAACATAGGGATAAGTGACGTATCGTCAAGTACCCCTTTAAATGCGGGGTAATAGTGGATGAGTAGTGGGTATTTCGTGGTCTTGGCGAAAGTGCTGTCCATCCGCACCCGATGGGATAAGGCCCCCGAAGTTGGGGCTGGCGAACCCGGCAGATTCGACCCCTTCGACGTACCCCCTCGCAAAGCGATAATAAGAGATCTACCACCGACTCCTCTAAACTTCTTTTTATAATATATACCTACGGATCTTATCGACAGATAGTCAGAGTAGACGAACACCGCGCCGCTAATAGTGGCCGGGCCTCGTCAGCCTGAATCTCAAACGTTCGCATAGAGTAACACTTCGGCAGAAAAGATCTAAGTTACCTCTTTTTAGGTATTATTATTTATCCCATCGAGTGCTGTTGGGCTACAGATACATTGCTCCACTCTTTTACCCACTCTTAACCCCTCACATCAGGAATACATGACAGTACGTCATTTACCCCTAGGAATCCCTGGCTTCCCTTCACCACCAAAATCGCCTATCTACACACGCCAATTCGT